TCGCAGGGCTTGCTGCACATGAAAAGCGTGAAGGATATCTTAGCCCTCATTCTGGCTTTTGGAAACTACATGAATGGAGGAAACAGGACTCGGGGACAAGCCGATGGATATAGCTTAGAAATTCTGCCCAAACTCAAGGATGTCAAGAGTCGGGTATTTATTATTTTTCACAATGAGTTTCTATTATCTGCCATTATTTTCTTTCTTGAACTTTGATTTAAAACAAGAAAGGTATTCCAGATTGTTCCATATATTTCTATTCCCCCCCTTAACAACAGTCACGTATATTAGAGCGTATATTTTTTTCTTTGCTTTCTTTTGACTTTTGAATAAAGGTAGGTTTTTTTCATGTTAGACCTTATTTTCGATGACACAATCCCCCATCTTTGTTTGCTCTCACATACACAATTAGGTACTAAACAGCTCCCCACCGTGAGGGAATAAAACAGACAGCATACAGAGTTAGTGCAGTGCAAAGGCTGAAGGCTGTTTGAATTTAGTGGTGGCTACTTATAATTTACTCAGTCTTGAGTGACAGAGCAATGCTGAATCACCAGTTGAGCTGAGCATTTGTGTTATTCTTTTGCCAACAACAATTGGGCCTAGGGTCTACTGTCAAGCTCTCAGAGCCTGATTATCATTTGGCTCCACACCCCTGCAGAGCTACCTCTTTAGAAACAACCAGTCCATATCTAGGCGTCCCTTAGGGGGGAAGGGGGGTGGAGGGAGGGGAAACACACAGGCAAATTAGAATTAGACCCCTGTGAATAAGACACAAAGGCGGCCTTGTGGGAGGGCCTGCTTGCCTGGCCTTGCAGGGTCATAAAGTGGCATGGTGCTCCTTTTAAGCTGGCCCTGATTGTTTTTCACGCCATTAAGAACACACACTTTTTGAAAGGTGGGAAGGGAGGGATGGTTTTCTGTTCTAGTCTCTGATTTTCTTTAGCACTCCCCACCTCCTCCTGTCTTGGCTTTACCCCAGAAAATATTAGGAAACGTTTAAAAAAAAATTTCAGCCATTACCTCCACCAAGGATATTTAGTGTCATTTCTTTGTATAGCTAGCGTAACAAAAGAATGGGACAAAGAGGAGGAGGAAAAATCCTGCCAGTATCAAGCAGAAGTCAGGCCAAGTTTTACAAATTAGAAGTTTCACAGCCTGAGATTTCATCTCTCAACTATATGACGTGGCAGCCTCACAGGAATATTTTTCATTTATATTTCTCTTTTAAACCTAGGATAATGGAATTAATCTGGTGGACTATGTCGTGAAGTATTACCTGCGTTACTATGATCAGGTAAGAAATGCCATTATGTGGAAAACTGCATTAATGGGGTTTCAACTCTTACATGTTGTTGGCATTCAGAAATTGGATGATGGATAGATGCGTGGATGAGTTTCAAGTCTAACATAGAATTTGAGAGCTCTCCAGCCTGCTTGGTTTACAGAGGAGTACACTGGAAGCCAAGAGAGTCTAGTTGACTCCTGTGAAGGGAAGCTTTATTCAGGGGCACAAATCTGATTCTCAACCTGCAGCTTCTGAAAGGGCCACCAGTCGCCTCAGTTTCTCAAGACAAGATTGCGAGGTTCCCTATGAAATCTAGATCCACTCAGTAATTGGTTATAGTAGATACTGGATTCTGATGATAACAGCAAAATGTAGGGAATTACAGCACAAGAATACCTAACATTTTATCCGTAATGCCTCTGTGAACAAGTTGAAGATGTGGAATTTGAAAAATGCATCTACGCTACTTAGATGACATTTGCAATTGGAAATAAACATTTCTGTCAGAATCCACCTGAGCGCAATTTTCTGTTTTATTCCTTCTTGTTAAATGAAAAATAATGAATGGGAAAAGTCTCAAAGTAAAATGTCATCAGGACACCTACCCATCTGTCCGTGTAAACAGTTTTACACCGATGGCAGAAAAGTAAAGATATCAGGGACTTGTTTTTCAAAAGGCCTACGGTTTCATCCAGAAGACAAGCTAGGCGCTGATGAACTCTTTCCTAACTTCTTCTACCCCCATGGTGGGCTCATCTAACTGTTCTCTCCATATCTACAATCAGGCTGATCATTCCTTCCTATCTCCAAACTTCTCCCTCATTCCTATGAAGGATATCTTAGTTTGGGGTCATGAAGCCTTGTTTTCCTCTTTAGTTATTCTCTGTCTGTCTGGTGTCTCTCCCTGTTTTTCTTCTCTGCTGACACCAGCTTATTCAGGCTGTAAGACAGCTCCCTTGGAGAACTGCAGGGGCTGCAGCTCCCATCCCCATCTCTAGGTACTATCATTTTAGGCCATCCCACACCCTCTTTACATAGCTCTGGTCATGTCACTTCTTTTACTTAAAACAAAAATGGCTCTCTGTTTTCAAGCAAATTAAGGCAGTACTCAATTTAATTCTTATCTTCCATAATTTCCCTCTGCACATATTCTGGGAGCCAACTCAAGACTTGCTGTTTGCCAAACATAGCCTGTCCTTTCTTACTAACATGTTTTTACTTCTGATGTTTTCCCTGACTGAAATCAACTTTATCTCTAGTCTTTTTGTATAAAACTTCCCTGTTTTCCCCTCATTAATCAGAAATATTAAATTTAAAGATCTTTGGGGGAAAAGTTCCCAGTAACATTACCTATATATATGTTATAGACTTAACCACAAACAAGCAGATCCTTGTAAGGACATTTATATAATTTTACTGAGAGGTAAAATGTAAAGTAGATGGAAAAAACCCAACCCAACTTTAAAAATGGGCAAAGGACTTAAATAGACTCCGAATAAGACAAAGAACCAACAGGTGCCAAAATCAGTAATCATCAGGGAAATGCAAATCACAACTGTAGCAAGCTATCTTCTCTTGTGTATTAGCACTACTATTAGAAAAAAAAAAAATGTTGACAAGAGTATGGGCAAACTAGAACCCTTGAACACTATTGGTAGGAATGTAAAATGGTGCAGCTTCTATGGAAAACAGTCTGGTGGTTTCTCAAAAAATTAAAAATATAACTACCATGTGATCCAGCAATCCCACTTCTGGGTATTTATCCAGAAGATTTGAAACCAGACATTATCAAAGAGACATTTATGTTCCATGTTCATGGCAACTTTATTCATATAGTCATGATATAGAAACAACATAAATGTCCATCAACAGATGAATGGGTAAAGAAAATGTGGCATATATGTATGTTCTACAAAATATTATTCAACCATAAAAAAAGAAAGATATCCTGTCATATGCTACAGCACAGATTAACCTTTAGGTTAATTTTGTGCTAAGTTAACATTGTGCTAAGTGAAACTAAACTAGTAACAGAAGGACAAATTCAGAATGATTACATTTATGTAAGTACCTAAAATAGTCAAATTTATAACAATGAAAAGTAGAATGGTGGCGTAAAGGGAAAGTGGAAAGTCGATGTTCAGTGAACATAGAGCATCTGTCATGCAAGATGGAAAAATTCTAGAGATCTACTGTGCATTGCCCTTATAGTTAACAGTACTGTACATTTAAAAATTGAGGATGTATCTCATATGATGTGGTTTTTTTATCACAATAAAATAATAGAATGATAGATTATACTCTCTAGTCAGAATTCCAGTTAATCTTAAAATCTGGCAAAATGATTTTAAATACTATACATAAGAATAATTGGATCAAATTTGATCAGGATTAAAAATATAATGAAGGGAAAAATCATTCATTCCTGTATTAAGTGTGTTATAAAGCCTTAATGATTTAAAGTGTGGCATGATGGAATAGCAGATCAAAAAACTCAAGAAGGGCAGCTCCTGTGGCTCAAAAGAGTAGGACACCGGCCCCATATGCTGGAGGTGGCAGG